CATATCATGAATCACTCGGATATAAGCAGTTGGGATCCGTCTCGTTTCCAAGGTCTTCCATATCATATCGCGGGGTACGCTATCATACGCCTTCTCAAGGTCAATGAACGCCATGTGAAGATCTCTATTTTTTTCCTATATTTCTCCATAAACCGTCGAAGTAGATGAATCACCTCTGTAGTAGACTTGCCTGGCATAAAGCCAAATTGGTTTTCTGAAACCCTAGTAACATGTCTCAACCTAGCCTCTATCACCCTTTCCCATAGCTTCATGGTATGACTGAGTAGTTTAATACCTCTGTAGTTACCACAACATTGGGGATCTCCTTTATTCTTATATATTGGTATCACCGCAGACTCTCTCCACTCCTCTGGCATCTTGGCAGTCTCTAAAATAATATTAAAGATATTATTCAACCACTTAACTCCCTCTTCTCCTAGGGTCAACCACACAATGATAGGAATTTGATCTGGACCGATAACTTTGTCCCTCCCCATCTTTCCCATCTTTCTAAGGGCCATTTTAACTTCCTCAATCTCAATCCTACTTGTAGGGCAATCATTGGTCGTAGTATGATGGTCGACTGACCCATCAATGTTACTATCTCTACCGGGAGAGGCACAATTATTAAATAAACCAAAGAAGTAACTACCATAAACCCTCTTAATATCATGATCTTTCACTAAAAGAACATCATTGTTATCCTTAATAAACCTAATGCTACCTAGATCCTTTTTCCTATTCTCCCTGGATTTTGCAAGCCTGAATATGTCATTTTGTCCTTCCTTGTTGTCTAATCTCTTGTACATTTCCTTGTATGCTTTATCCTTTGCTTTAGCCACTATTTTCTTAGCTTCCCACTTTGCCTCTTTGTATCTTTGTTTAGCTCTCGATCTTTCTTTGTCATCATTGCATTGTAGCAACTCCTTGAAGCAAGTTTGCTTTGTCTTCACCTTAGTTTGGACTTCGTCGTTCCACCACCACGATTCTTTATGTTCCTTGACCTTCCCTGTCGACAACCCAAGGGTGTTTTTGCCCACCTCTCTAATGGAATTTGCCATATTTTTCCATAACATATCTGCATTATTTGAGTTTGTAGTTCCAAAACCTGTATGAGACAAAACCTTACTCCTAAAGTCATCAGTTGTCGCTCCATGTAAGTTCTTCCAAAGGATCCTATGTTTACCTAGTTTAGCCCTCCTATGAGTGCTCCGCCCGTGGCATACGCGAAACACCAAAACCAATAATCTGTGTTATGATGCACATGCCTCTTCAGGGAACACCTTACAGTCAATGCAAGCCCATCGATCCCGATTTCGAACCAGGATGTAATCTATTTGGGTATAATGTCCCCCGCTATGGAACATAATCAAGTTCACATATCTCTTGTTAAAAAAGGAGTTAGTGACCACCATATCGTGTACCGTAGCAAATTCAAGCAACGTATGCCCCTCCTCGTTCCTACTACCAAAGCCAAAACCCCCATAAACATCTTCATACTCCTCGATTTCACTACCTATATGGCCATTGAAGTCTCCCCCTATGAAAACTCTTTGGTCCTCCGGAATGATCCTAAGTACATCATCTAACGAATCCCAGAAGCAACGTTTTCCCCCTCCCCTAGGCCAACGTATGGGGCGTACAGTGAAAGGGCATTCACCACTTCTGCTTCTATAATAATCTTAATCATCATGATACTATCCCGGTATCTACAAACTTCAACTACATTTTCCTTGAGCCTAGAGGATACCAAGATTATCACCCCTTATCTAGCGTTATCTACGCCTAAATACCACAACTTGTACCCGTTACACTCTTTGGCACGAGCCCCTTTCCACCTAGTCTCTTGAATACATACAAAATCTATTTTCCTATTACTTAGTACGTCGGCCAGCTCCAGCAGTCTAGCATTTAATGTGCCTACATTCAACGTACAAACTCTAAGTCTAGTCTCCTTGACACCACTCTGTCGAGCCCGCCCCTTATACGCCCTATGGGATCTAAAAGAATGACATGACCTCAAGTAATCATCTATAGCCGAAGCTATGAGGAACTATGATAAATGAATCCAAAGAAGACATAAGATGGACCAATAGAAAAACTGAGGAACCGTGGAGCCTAAAGTTTACTGCCCAAACAATGTAATCTCTAAAATCAACAGAGGATACTAGCTTAAAATTGAATATCCATCAAGAAATTAGAACCCTTCAACTATAGAGATACAAATGCTAGTCCTAGCTCAAAGAGGAAACGATAAACAGACACGAGATCTTAATTAACCTAATTTCAACTTATGCAAGTGACTAGCAAAACTAAGCAGAAAAGAAGTCATAAACTTTTAGAAACAGGGCCTAACAACAGCAATAATAATATTGTGATGAACTGTAAAAGAAAATGGAGAATGGAATTTCTTAATAGGAAAAGCAATATGAGGTTCAGATATGGGAAAAATAAAGTGAACCACAGAGAAAATTCACCAAAGATCCAGCACAAAATCACAAGATTTGTGACAAATCGAAAGAAACCCGGATCCTATTTTTGTTTAACTAACAACATAAGCTACCATAAGTCAGAAAGTAGGAACAGAGAAAAATAAAACAGAAACGAAAAGCAAATAAACAACTCAAGATCCTGCAAAAAATAGTTCAGTAAAATCTAAAAAGCTATATGATATGACAAACCTAGAACCTGCAAAATTTCAATTCAAATTTTAATAGGAAAAACATTGATTAACAGAAACAAAATCAAACGAAAAATGTTGTAGACAAAAGGAACAATTAGAGGAAGCGATGAGAGATCAGATGTAGATGTTCGAGCGAGAGGAGTGAATAACCCAGATCCCTAATACATAAAAGAAAGATAATCGAACAACCGGAGTCTGGGCTTAAGCGCAAATTAAAATTCTATTTGTTTTCCTTTTTCTGGGGGAAGGGGATAGTGTTGTCTCTTTCTCCCTTAATCACATGTTAAATAACCCTTAAAATGAATTTTTAATTCATTTCTTATCAAAAGACCATTTTACCCTTCAACCCTTCAATCTTTGATAATAAGTCCTAAACAAAAATTTTCAAAATTAATACTTGAACTTTTCAGTTTATCAAAAGATTACCGCTAACTTTTAAATCCTTACACTTTGGTCACTGACCCAATGTTTGAGGTGTTACAAGACTGGATTTGTTTCAATAGAAACTAACTTGTATCTCAAGTTAGACGAGGTTTATGTCTAAGGGAAATTGTTTCATATCTCAAGTGAGATGAGATTTATGTCACTGGAGAAACTAGCTTATATCTTAAAGAAGATGAAATTATATTTCAATTTCAAAAAGAAACAATCGCAAATGAGACTGGATTTTTGTTTTAAGGGAAATGATCTCAAGGGAGATAAGATATATGTTTTAAGGGAAACAATGTGGAGACGAGATTTTTGTGTTCCTAGGGAACAATCTCAAAAGAGATTGGACATTATTATGGGGTTTTGGATTTGTTTATGGGATTAGAGGTGAATGGTGGTGTTAGTTGTTAGGGACTAGGTACGATCATATGACAATCATGTTACGATGAATGTGGCTTTTAGTTGAGAGGTTATGGCAATGGTTGCTTGATTAGAATAGTCGGTGACTATCGAGATGATGAAGATTTTTAGGGGACTTGAGAATTGATTTTGATTATCGCATGGCAGATGGTTGTGGCTTTTATTTGGTGTGTATCTCAAGGTTGGTGGCCAGACGGCCAATGGATTGTGGGTGAGTAGGGATAGGGTGTTCGATGATGGCCAACCAACCCTTTTCCATAAGTCAAACATCCAAGTTTGGATAATGAATGCTCCAATAACTCAATAAAAGTGATGCTCGAAAATGACACGTCTAGGGACAACAATCATCTCTTTAACCATTAAGATATTTTGATTCGTGCATCAAACCTCCAAGTTAAACATGGCTTCCTTTGATTTTTGTTCATGGTAAAATTTTAAAATTTTTAGGGGAGAGAAGCTAAGATTTAGGGGTATTTAGTTGAGCGGGAATTAAGGGAAATGACCAGGTTTTCGTTTGAGGGGATGATCGAGTTTTTGAGTAAAAGCATGTTTTGAATCGAATATAAATTTTGATTTTTTGTCGGTTTTTTTGGATCGGAGAAGAGAGGGTAGACTTGGGGAGTAGACATAGACCCAATTTTAGGTCTAGGCTTGGGCCCAAACGAAATAAGATGCGACAATAAATATATAATTAGTTTTTACTCCCCTTCACAAGGCCTTTGACAAAACTTTAATGTGTGTGGTGTCATAAACTTCAAGTCAATTTCTATAAACATGAGACAAATTCACTTGTATAAATTATATCTCCAAACTGAACCGGCAAATTTTAACTCATGATATATATACAACACATTAAAGTTAAATCATTCTTGAAGCTTTTCAAAGAAATTCATATTTCAAATAATTAGGTTACTTACCGTTCGAAATGATTGAAGAATGATGAGAGATGGAGGGACCTCCTTATTACAATATTCAGTCATTTTTTTCCTTTTAATATTCCTTCTTTGTTCATCTTTCACGTTAGTTTTGCAATCTAAAATGGTTTTAGCCTCTTTATTTAATATTCGCCAAAATTAAAGTTTTATCGAATAAAAGGGATTAAATCCCAATTTCAGCATAATAGAGGAACTGGTGCCAAAATTAGACCTAGTTTTGTTGTAATATTCCTAATTTTGTATTTCTTTATGGTAATGGAACGGCGCCTATTTTTATAAAAAATATATACCCTAATAAATGTCATTTTGGTTGTATTTTTCATCAAATGAAGGATTATTCGATTCGGAATTATTCTACTTGCAGCTTGAAGATTCATTTTACTCGGGATTTACCGCCTTGGTGAATGGTGATCACTGTCTTTACAGGTTGGAGCAATGACACCCTTAGCTTTACTTGTTTGTTCACATATTACGTTCAACATTTATAAATTCTCGACTCAACTTCTATAAGAGTAGGCAAAATCGAAAACTAATAAAGCTTTGATTTTGGCTCAACAGCAGCTGTCTCATGGCAAAGAGTTGTATTTCACGGCTCCTGGTTGTTTTTCTGTCACTTGCAGTATCTTTGGCAGCACCACCACCAGCCGTCTACATCTTTGGGGATTCGACTCTTGACGTCGGCACTAATGACTTAATACCCGAGTGCCAAGCAAGGGCGGATGTCGCTTTCAACGGTATCGATTTCCCTTACTCGGAGCCGACGGGGAGGTTCAGCAATGGCCTTAACACTGCTGATGAAATAGGTCAAAACTACATCCAACATATTAATTAATTTCATCTGTTTTCCTTTATGCATGTTAATTGTTGATGACAATTTTTTTTGGTTTTAGTGATGCTGATGGGTCTAAAGAGGAGTCCGCCACCTTTTCTTCGTCTTGTCCAGAATATGTCGACTTTCAAGAAGAATATACTCAACGGAGCTAACTTTGCCTCCGGTGGATCCGGTATTTTGAACACTACTGGGCACTACGTGAGCGTCTTCTCAACATTCCATAGTACTACCTACAATTAATTCGGATTTAAATCATTTTAGATTCGGGTCATTATGTTTTGAAACTCGAGTTTTATAGTGTAATCAAATTGTATCATGTTCGAATTCAAGCTGATCGGGTTGAGTTAAAGCCATAATTGACAAGTTTAATACATATGATAATTTCATATAATTGACCCTTTAAACACCAAAATTGATAATAATGTTAGTTACTTCAGTGTGTTATGGGAAATAAAAAATTACATATCCATATAAAAAATTTATATCTCGTTTTTTAATATTTAGATCCACCGTGCAGAAAAGGGTCATATCTTTGGAGGAGCAGATCCAACAATTCTCAACCGTTCGTTCAAACATCACAAACATGACGGGCAGTGATGCACAAACTGATGCCATTCTTTCCAAAGCATTCTTTCTTATAAGTATTGGAAGCAATGACATCTTCGAGTACCTGCTTAACATCACCGTACCACCATCGATGACCATACCGGAGTTCAACGCCACATTGGTATCCACATACGAAAATCATCTAAAGGTTCGACGCGATTTTTGCCCTTCATTGCCCTAAAATCATTCCTTGTAAACTAGTACATCATCATTGCTCATTATTACCATCCATTGTGGTTCATTCAACCATTCAGACTCTATACGAGCTGGGCGCCCGAACATTCGGTATCTTAACGGTTCCACCAATCGGGTGCACCCCATTTGCTCGAGCTGTTTTCAGTACTCCAATATATCATAAAGACAGCTGCTTTTTACCGGCTCAGCAGTTTGCGCTGGCGTTCTATACGGAGGCGGTGGCCTTACTAGAGAAGTTTAGCTCCCAAGTTCAGGACATACAGTATTCACTGGCGAATACGTATTTGATGACCGACACTATGATGGAAGATATGTTCGCCTTTGGTAACCAATCATTTCCTCTTTCGGAACACCTTTGTAACATGAGTAACGTACATTTTATCACCTAAGTCGCACCTCTTGTGATTCAGGTTTCAAGGATATTTCATCAGCTTGCTGCGGAAATGGGACTTACCAATGCAATCAAACGGCCAGCGTTTGCTCGAATCGCGACGAGTATTTGTTTTGGGACAGGTTTCATCCGACACAAAGAGCTTCGGAGTTGGCAGCCCTGACTCTATTTGGTGCATCGGAATGGCTTGTGGCTCCCATGAATTTCAGTCAGTTGTTGGGGGTTAGCATTTAGGAGCCATCTCCCCCCCCCCCATCACCACAACACCCACACACACAAACAAAGATATTTGGGATGACAGAGTAGTCCAATCCAAGCATGCGAATCAAATAAGTATAGAGCTGTTTGCGCTTACACCCTACATGTTTTCTACCTTTTCAACTTTAATAATAATGTATTTTGTAATAACCCCATTTTTTTACCTTCGATTGGCCCAATTTTCACTCAATCAAATTTAAATTAGAAAACATTAAAATGTCCAAGCTGGTCTTTTCAATGTTTTACTAACAGATACAACACAAGGTTGATTGTTTCACAATCTCACCCATTCCATGAATTATATATGATGTCCGTATTGGTAATACAGTAATTCTATCAGATACAACATACAACATACAACATACAACATTGTTACACTAACTTCTTTCACAATAGAAAACTGCTACAATTATCTTTGCCTGCAAGGTCAGATATGAATTCAGGATCATTTTACTGGAATTTTAAAAGTTGCAACAATTTCAGAGTTTAAGATCAAGCCAACCCTTTTTAGGAATGGCATTGCCTTAGCGTTTACTCCTCTCATCTTTATTGTTTCTATCACCATCCTTGTTGCTTGGCGTGTACTGACCGGTTGATGATGGTGAATATCCAGGGGCACTAGGAGAGTACCCAGCACTAGGACTGCACACAACATTTAAATATAAATAAAATAAAAAGGAGCAAAAATTTAAATTCAACGCCCGGTCTGCTTACCTGTACTGTGGTGAACTTGGGCTGTATTCTGGACTCACTCCAGAATTGTATGGGCTGGTTTCAGAGAAATAAAACAACAAACAGATTATTAAATGGTTTTACAACAAATATGGTACTAACAGAAATCGGTAACAACCATTAGTTTGATATGAAAATATCACAACTTGAAGATAAAAAGTCACCTGCTAGGACTGTATGTTGGACTTGTCGGGGACTAAGATGGTGAAGTTGATGAGTACGATGGTGACTGCAAGCCGAACCGAAAAAATCAAATTCATCAAAAACAAAGTCACAAGCACAAAATATACGCAAAAATATAAATTCATAGAAACCAAGGAGAACAGGGAATAATAAACTTTTGTAACAGTGGCACCACCTGAGCATCAACAGAAATACAGAAAGTGATTTAGTCTACCATGTCTTACCTATTAGGTGTAGAGTGTTCAAAATTCGGTTTTAACCGAATTAACCGATCGAATCAAATTAATTCGGTTAATTCGGTCGGTCACCGAATTAATTCGATCGGGGAACGGTTAACAATTTTTTTGATATTCGATTAACGGTTAATTCGGTTCGAAATCGGTTAATTAACCGAATAAACCTTTAAATATAAATAAATATATAATTATATAACTCAGCCGGCCCAATGCCCCAACCAACTCTCAACCCATTTCAAACCCAAATCAATTTTAATTAATTAAAATAATCTGAAAACTAAATGTAAAATAACCCAAACCTAAACGGCAAAAACGCTTAATCCTTTCAATCTCATCTCACCAGTAATCCCGTTCTACCTCTGGAAACCTCTCAATCTGTCGATTAACCCTTTCAATTGGCTTCTCTTCTCTCTCAGCATAGTTTTCTGTAGTTATCTCGTTGTTGCAAGATCCAGGTTTGTTAATCTTTTCCTCGTTAAACAAACTCTGGTCTGGTATTTCTATATTTCTCAGGTCTCGGCTAGATGACTGTATGTTAGCACGATTTAAATAGAAATCAGAAGTTTAGCCTCTCTTGCTTCTATTGATGGGATTAATAGTGTTTAATTGCATATAGGTGGTTGTTCCTTGCACTTACAAATAAATAAATTATATTTCCATCTGGAAATGTATTTGGAAATATGGTGGTTTGATGGTTAAATTTGACTCTAAAGGTTTCTGTTTCCCTTTATTTCGGACACGTTTTGGATTTATTTTTCCTTTTCATGGCTATAGGTGTTAATTCGTTGATATTTCTGGGAAAGTTTCGAACTGCATGTAATTCATGAACTAATTGGAGTGATGAATGTAACTATTAGATAGTAAAGATAATTGTTGTCATTTACAGTTCAATGTTATTTCCCACTCATGTTATATGGTAGGAAGTGATTTACTTGTGCATTACTGCATTTAGAGGTTAACAGTGTTATATACACTTTGAACCCTTGTAAAAAGCTTCATTTAACTACAAGATCTCTTTTAAAAAGTGTGTACTTTAAGTTAGTTGGGACCAAATTTGGTTTGGCATTGTATTGTTGTAAATTCTTAGTTACTATGATCACAAATATATTTGTCTATCCGAAAATGTCTGATTCCATGCCTCTGCTACATATAAGCACCGAATGAAAGCAGGTCAGTAAACTGGAAAATGATGGGTTGCTGGTTCCATGTATATTTTATTTGTAACTAATGAAAGCAGGTCAGTAAACTGGAAAATTATGCTTCCAGTTCTGCACTTTGTTTTGATTTATTTTGTAGAATTTTAAATTTGATGATTTTTTTAACTAAATTGATAGATACAAATATCTTATTTTAATATAATATTTGAATCAAATTAATTAGATATTATAAACTGTTTTTTAAATTTGAAAATTCTAAAAGATTTCGGTTAATTCAAAAATTAACTAAATTAACCGAAATTTATTTGGTTCGGTTAATATTTTCATAAAAAAAATCGGTTCAGTTAACGGTTAAAAAAAAAAAATTCAGTTAATTCGATTAAGGGTATTTCGGTTCGGTCGGCCACCGTTTTAACCGAATGAACACCGCTAGTTAGGTGATGTTGGACTGTAGGGACTGGAAGGAGACAACCTTGGACTACTTGGTGAGTATGCCAGAGATGGACTGTACTTGGCTGACTGCGGGTTGTAACTTGGAGAGGTAGGGCTATAGCTTGGTGATGTGGGGCTATAACTTGGAGAGGTTGGACTATAAGCAGGTGAAGTAAGGCTGTATGATGGCGATGTGGGGCTATAGGAGGGTGAGGTTAGGCTGTATGAAGGAGATGTTGGGCTGTACGATGGTGATGTTGGGCTGTATGATGGAGAAGTGGGGCTATACGCAGGTGAAGTTGGGCTATATGCAGGTGAACTTGGGCTATATGCAGGTGAAGTTGGGCTATATACGGGTGAAGTGGGGCTGTAGCTCGGGGATGTGGGGCTATAACTTGGAGAAGTAGGACTGTAACTTGGAGATGTAGGGCTGTAGCTTGGTGAGGTTGGAGAATAAGAAGGGCTTGTAGGAGAGTAGGCTGGACTTGTCGGACAGAATCCTGGTGAGCCAGGACTGTAAGTAGGTGACGTGGGGCTGTACCCAGGAGAGGTGGGGCTGTAACCAGGGGAGGTAGGACTGTAGCCAGGTGATGAAGGACTGTATCCTGGAGATGATGGGCTGTAACCAGGGGATGACGTAGGGGAGAATGCCATCCCACCAACATAAGGTGAGAACTGAGCATCTGAAACGGGTGAGAGACGGAGATTTGGGCTCAGCAAGTAATTTGGAGACATCATGCCGTCATGATAAGGAGTTCCAGACACTGGAGAACGAGCAAGCGTCACGCTAAATTCCACACCTTCAATGTAACTAGGTAGCTGAAGTTCAATAGCATTCTTCAACATCTCATCATTGAGATACAAGGTACATTCTCCCGTACCAACTGGTGCAAGCTGACCCAACATTATATTCTCTGTCACGCCCCTCAAATAATCTGACTCGGCATAAACAGCAGCATCGAGGAGAATATCTACAGTTTCTTCAAATGAGCACCTCATCATAGGCCCTGTATCATTGCGATTGATACCATGACGGGTGATGGCCATTAAGTGGCCACGATACGTCATTGTATCACAGAGGATAGCTAGATGCCGATAATTCACATAAGACCCATCAAACGATATCACAACCCGCAATTCATCCAACAAGGACCGACGAACTGCTTCAATTCCAAGAACTTCAATAACTTCAATCAAATGATTGCTTGTTGTACTTGTTGATGTCTGGGATACCTCGAAGGGCCATTTCTGTCAGGATGTTACTTTCAATCTTCTTCAGGAACACATCATCCTCAGCAGACTCATCATTCAACTCACCCTTTGGGGCCTCATCATTCATGATGCGGATAAGTAGGATCAACTTCTCTGCATTGTCATCATTGAATATGCAAGTCAGATCATCATCAAAGTCCAGGTTAATCTTCTCAGCTATGTCAGCCATGCTCAACTTCTTATCAACCATCATCTCACGATTCAGCTCTATTCGAAGCAGCCAAGGGGAGATCCTCAATAATTGTGCTCATTGGATCCGGATCATACCATACTTCAGTAGCATGAGTAACACTCCGAAGAGTAGTATATTCTAAAGCACACTGGACATTCTTGGCCCTCTCCTTAGTCTTACTAGTTTCAGGAGAGAGGTAGACCGAAAGAGAGGGTGTTTTGATTTTCTTGGCTACATTAATAATTTCCCTCAACCTGGGGACACCAAGTGTAACATTCTTTCCACTCACACCAGCATAGTGAAAGGTATTAAGAGTCATTTGAGTAGCAGGCTCACCAACTGATTGAGCAGCAACACAACCTATCATCTCACCAGATGCCACTAAAGACTGCAAGAATCGTGACTCTATTTCACCAATAACCCACTCAAATGCTTCTTTCGTCAATCTATATTCCTGTAACACCCTTTTACTAGCCAAAGTACAGCGAAGCAAAATGAAAAAGAAAAGGGTAGCATTCTTCTGGGCTTCCACGCTCAGAGGATCTGAACCCGGAACAACCTTTAACCTTTCCTGGAGCTTATCAACAGAATCTACAATTTCCACTGGATGCAGATCTGACACCCTTCGAAAGTCAACTTTAAAAGTCTTCTGGGCATTCCAGATAAGCCTCTTCAAGTTAACAGGCAAGGGCCAATGACTGTCGCCTGTGACTGCAATCTCTGTTCCAAGCTGGTATCTATCAGCTTCAAGTTTATTTACTTCAGCATCAAACACATCACGCAGTTCTTGGATGGTTCTCA